CCACACTGGCCACCCGGAGGGACCCTCACGGGCCCGCTGCCCAAGCTGGTGGCCACGGAGGTCCGTGTTCATGACTCCCAGAGATGTGGCCCTCCACTCGGCTAGGGTGCTTGACTTGGGGAGCCCCTTCTCTCCAGAGGCCAGCCTTCCACTTTGGGGCCGAGTCTCTCACGGTGAGAACGTGAACATATACCACCTGCCCGTGCCCCCCACTACCCACCGGGCACTGGTGTCCACGCCTCTTCCCGAGCCCCACCTCCCTGTGGACCTTTGGACTTCTGAATCGTGTCCTGTGTGGCAGACTGGCCCTCCTTGGACTTGCCGCAGGAGGCCAGGAGGCAGTAAGAGACACCCTCGACACACCCCATGCACAGAAGTGCCGAAGGAGTCGGCCAGGGCTCCCCTCTGGCCTGTCGCTGACGTGGGTGCAAGCCCAGCAGTGGGGCAGCCCGAAGCCCGGCTCCTGGCACTCACCCCGGCCCTGGCAGGGGCCAGAGATCTCCCTCCAGAAGAGCCAGTCACAGAGACTCAAGAGCACGCAAGATGTCACTGTCCCGTGTCCCGGCGTGTCGGCGTGCAGAGGACGGGGGCTCCCATCACCCAGGCCTGCTGACAGGGAGCGGGAACAGCCCCACACTAGGATTCCTTGTCTTGAGGTTGTGCGAAAGGCGGCCAGGGGAGAGGACTGAGCACCAAAGCAGTCCCTGGTTGAGACCTGAGGCACGAATGCATTCCTTTGACTCAGCGCCTCCCCAAGACTTTGATTTTGTGACCACATAATTTAAAGAAGCAAGCCAGAGGGGAGGAGCTTGAGAGACAAGGGAGCAGAGCACCAGTGGGTGAAGACTCAGCACAGGCGATGGCCACCCTTCTCACGATACCCGAGCCCTCTAGGAGCCAAGCTGGGCGGGGACGGCTGTGACGGTGACCACACAGGAAGCACGCCCTGGGCGACACTGGCACTCTGGCACAAGAGGTGAAGGGTGCTCAGCTCAAACTATGAGGGACACAGGGGTCAGACAGCACGCGGGTACCCTGCAGCCCGTGAGTGGCGATCCTCAACATCCGAGTCACCCCCAGTGCACTTCCCTCCACAGGGCACCACTGTTGACTGACTTGCTTGGGACCAGCGTCTGTGTGCACTGTGCAGGGAAGCATCCAGGCGGCGGGCTCCCCTGCACTGGCTAAGGTGTGTATAGAAATGGGAATCAGAATTCTCCAGACCTCCTCCCCATCCAGAGGGATGCGTTTGTACCTGAGATACATAGATGTGTGTGTGTATCTGGCTGCCACGACCTCTGTCGATTGCTGAGAACGAGGGCGCCACTTTGAGGGCTGCAGTGCGCCGGGCACAAGCCCTGGCATTTACATCGCCCCCTCGGCTCGTGCAAGTTGGACACTGAACACAGAAGACCCAAGCGGCAGCGGCGCGTCTGAGTTGTGGTGCTGGTGAAAGCCGTGGGCGGTGCCACGGACTGCCAGAGAATAAGCAGCTCTGTCTCGCAAGGACGGCCGGGGTGCTCCCCAGTGGCCGGGAGGGGCGGACTTCGCCAACTATACGTGGAGGATGCTGTGTGCGGTAGAGAGGTAGCGAGAGGGGCAGGCCTGCGGCGAGACGGATGGACGCGGTGAGGACGGCCCAAGTTGTAGAGTCACCGGGACTCAGACCCGACTCGATGGTGCCTAACTACCCCCTGTTCCATCCCGGGCGCCGAGGCTCGGTTCTCTAGAAGGGCAACACCGCTGGAGGTCACATATGTAAGAGGGGGTCTCGGTGCACGGCAGAATGGAACAAAATAGCCATGATTTCTCTAGGGGCCAGGGAGCAGGGGGACGCAGGCTCTTGACCTTGTCCATCTTCTTAGAGGGGCTCCCTGTCCTCCATCTCAGATGCAGGGAGTCAGGAGCAGCCCTCAGCTTGGGTATGCCCGGGCCTGGTCCCGGGGAACCACCCAGCAGCCCCTACACGGGGTCTTCTCCATGAAGACCCCACCCGGCCATCCTGGTGGGGCTCACGGGTCGGTTTCTGATGTCCATCTTCAGGGTAACCAGACTGTGTAGCTTTACAACTTGTTGGATTTGACGTGGATCCGAGGGAGGGGTGGGGGAGACTCAGGGTGGGGCTGCCAGTAAGCGAGGCCCTCACGCATATGCACACACACGACACACGGACTCCCCCCGCCCAGCCCCAGCCTGGCCGCTGCCTTCCTGAAGCCCATCTCAAGGTTAACCGTCTGTGGTGACAATCACGGTGCCACTGGAGAACCCTCCCGTCCTGTCTGGGTCCCAGCATCCCTGGGTCAGCCCACCATCCCCAGCGACACTCCCAGCCTGCTTTCTCCGCAGCCCCCGCCACGTCTCCAAATGGCTCTTCTGTGTCAGGCCCACCAGGAAACTCACCCGGCTCGCAGCGACAGCTGCTCTTTTCTCCCCTCCATGCCAGGCCGAGGGCCCGCTGGAGATGGTGGTGAATCACCAAGGAGCTTCCTCATGGCGCGTGGCCTCACCATGGAGGCCAGGGCACAGCTTACTGTCTTCCAGGCAGAGCAGGACAAGGCTGCCTGTGTCCCCAAGACAGGGCCCGAAGAACCGGCCAGTGGATCCTCCCCAACTTCCCACCTCTCTTCTCAGAGCCCCTGGGTCTGTCAACTCTGCCGCAGGGTGGACCACGTTGCCCGCTGCCCTTCCTCAGAAAGCCACGGGCTGGGCAGAGGGTGGCCCGGCAGGTGAGGCAGTGGGAGGGCCGCGGAGTCCGGGTGGGAGCAGGGGCCTGAGAGTCCTGTGTGGCTCTGACACCCCGTCGGGGGTGGGGGTGGGGTGGGGAGGTGAGGCTGGAGCCACAGGGGCAACGGAGGCCCTGGTGGTGCTGAGCTGGGCCCTCCCGCAGGCACTCTGGAAGAATGGGCTGGCAACCTGCCACTGAAGTCAGCCCTGGACACCTGAAGGAGGGAGTTCTCTCTCTGACCACACGGCGTGGCCAGGGGCTGGTGGCCACTCCACGGTAAACAGCTTGGCCTCGACCAGGCTGGGGCCCGTCCTTCCGTGTCCTATGACGCCAGCCAGGGGTCTCCAGTCGCCACGGATGCATGTGCAAGCAGGGCGGGGAGTATGGGCGACCACGGCAGAGGTGGGCGGCACGCGTATCTCGTGAATCATGTTGCTGGTGACGGATCCTCAAAGCACCCCGGCCACCCAAGTGCCACGTGTGCTGTCTCGGGAGAGGCACAGCAGAAAGCTGCTGAGAAGCAAGGCTGGCGGGACCCTGTCTCGTGTAGCCTGGATGTAGGAGGGGGACCGCCTTCCAGTGGACACTGAAGGACCGGGCAAAACCGTCCCTGTGGGTGTCTGAGACTAACCCTTTCTCCTGTGGAGCAGCTGGTGGTTTCGAACTTGCAGTCCTTTTCAATGGGTAACTCACCCTGTCACCAAAGCCCTCAGGAGGGACTGTCCCTGGGAAAGGACATCCCGTGTGGTGGTGGTGGCGGGTGTCACTGAAACTGAGGAGGACCCACCAGGAGATGGACCGACACCGAGGCTACAGCAGCGGGCTCACCCCTAACGGTGGCCGTGAGGTTGGAGCAGAACCGGGCAGCATTTGGTTCTGTTGCAAGGGGCGGCTAAGCCGGCACCCACTGGACACCCGCTGGACACCCACTGGACAGCAGCTCTCGGCAGTGGCGCCGCCTTAGCCGGCCCTGGCAGTGTTGCAGGCCAGAGCGCGGCAGCCTGCGGGAAGGCTGGGAGCTGGAATCCGCCTGGAGGTCCTCGGAATCGAGGCGTTGACTTCGGACAAACCAGCGCTGGAGGGGCACACACTTCCCCAGTCATGGGGGGAGGAGGGGTGAGTGACTGAGAGCCGGGGTTGATGGCACAACCACCGGGTAGGTGCTTTGGCTTTGGGCTTGGTGTCAGGAGCCCAGGTGGAACAGCTGCTGCGGCCCTGGACTGCTGATCACGGGAGAGCCGAGGCTGTCGGCTCCTGTAGCGGGCGCCTCACCGGCAGAAAAGCTCCACACCAGCGGGTTGACCCCAAGTGCGGACCCTGCCGTGAGCAGTGCAACTTGAGACCCTGGGCTCCTGGGGTAGACTCGGACCCCTCTGCTGGGTCATGGGGACGGACGTGGGTGGGGGTGGATGGGGGGATGTGTGCACGGTGCCCTCCTCTGTGCGGTGCGTGGCTGTGCCTGTGGCCTGCAAGGGCCGAGTAAACCGGTGGCTGGTGCAGGTCGGCAGCCTGTCCTTCTGACATCGTGTCCAGGGGCCTTCACCTACCCTGCTGGGCACAATCATGCCTCCCCAGGTCCCAGGGGCTCATTTGGTTTCTGTTCTGATATAGGGGCCACGGGTCCTCGGTGGGGCCTTGAGGAGGGTCTTTGAGCACCAGGCTCCCCTTGAAGGCTGCTCTGGTTGCACGAAGGATTAAATGCTACCTGAGATATTTCTACCCTAAACCAGCTGCCAGTGGCAGCGGGAGGAACCGCGAGCCCACAGTCCTGGCGCGGCATGGGCAGCGGCAGGCTCATGGGGAAGGTTTCCATGGAAAAACAGCCCTTTTTTTAAATGAAACATGAATGAGATGCCGGGAGAGGGCTATCACTTTGTAAAGGTCACCTTCGAGCTGGTAGCAGGCGGCGGCGGTCCTGTCACCGCGTGCCGGAGGACCACCAGTCAGTCCCTGCAGCTCGTTACTGAACTAGGAAATCCTGTCCCTTGCTTACTAGGGGTGGGCAGTGAAGGGGCCCTGGAGCAAGAGCTGGCTTGGCCCAGAGCAGGGGGAGGGTCAGAGGGGCAGGAGGAGATGCTGAGAGAGGTTAGCGGCCAGCTCTCTGCTGGAGGCTCTGAGAGGTGCCACTGCTCAGGGTGTTGGACTTACGCACAGGAGGTGCCCTTTCTGCCCCCACCCAGCCAGGATGGGAAATGTCCTCTTATCCACAAACACCCAGGAAACGGGGTAAAGGCGCAGACGTGTGCTTCAGAGGCCGGGACCAGAAACGACCATGTAGGCGGCGTGCTGGACGCAGTCGTTTTATTCAAAAGGAAACAGAAATGGAACCAAAATGACCTGAGCCTCTGGGGGGAGGCGCTTCTTCTACAGTCTCGGGAGAGAAATAAAGAGCAGTCACGTCAAGAAACAAATTCCTGCAACACCAGCCCGTGTTCGGGGGTCGTGCAAATCCACAGCCCGACAGCAGAGCATGGGGCCGGGCATGCCTCTCGTCTGCAGACGTTCCACGTCAGATGCCGCAGGGACACGAGCCCCACGCCCAGCCGCGCGCACACAGATGCACACACACTGTGTCAGAGAGCACGGGCACTGCGGCCGGCCCTCCGAGGCTGTGTCCACTCAGGGCGGGCGCGTGGGCGCACGTGAGATTCCAGGCTTCGCTCAGCCACAGGCCTCCGGAGAATTCCTTTACGCACAGCGCAACAGGGCCCACACCCGAGGCCGAGGAGGGGACACACAAATGGACTGGCCACTGCCTTTGGTCTGAGAGGCCCTCGGGCGCCGCGGGTTCAGAAATGCGAGAAAACAGACAGGAAGAATGGCAGCGAGCTGCTTCCAGACGAGTAACCATGGCTGGGGGCCCGCAGCTGGGCGCTCCCAGAGGGTCTGGGTTCCCCGCCACCAGGGCCCTGCTGGGGGCTGCGGCAGGTCTGCGCATGTGTGTGGAGAGAAGGCCAGGGGCCCAGATACCTGTCAGGCCTCCTGCAGCTCAGAGCTCTCCCTCTGGATCACAGCAGTTGCCGCCGCCGGGGAGCCGGCCTGCGTGTAGATGACCATGCTGGTCAGCTGCTCAGGGGCCCCGGCATCTGCGCTCAGAGGGGCCCCGGCGGGCAGGCCCTCGGGGGAGCCAGCCGTCTCGATGACAGTGTGCGCGTAGAGGCCGGCCTCCTCATGCAGGCCGGGGGGCAGCTCGGTGACGATGTAGTGCGTGGCACCCTCAGGGAAGCCGCCGGCCGACTCCTGGACCATGGCCTGGACCAGCTCCTCGGTGACGATGATCTGCGAGACCTCGCCGTCCGACTCCAGCAGGTCCATGTGCTCGGCCGGGCTCCGCAGGCTGCGCGGGCCGGCCTCCTGCATGACCAGCTGCGCCCCCTCCCGCGCCACCATGTGCACGGCGCCCCCCTCGTGCACGATGAACTGGGTGGCGCCCTCGTGCAGCAGCTGGTCTGCGGTGGTGGCGTCACAGACAGCTAGCTGCAGCACGTCCTGCACCACCTTCCTGAAGGCCACCTGCGCCCTCTCCTGGGGGGACAGCAGGCCTGAGGGCCGGACCACCTGGGCCACCAGCTCCATTGGCTCCAGCTCGGCTGGGCCACCCTGCACGTCCGGGAAGAGGGGTAGCTCAGGGGCCTCAGGGGCCCCGGGGGCAGGGCTGGCCTCCTGGCCGGGCACATGGATCAGCAGGTCCCTGTGACCGCACCTGCTCTTCTCCTCTCGGCCCGTCCGGCCTTCGGCCTCGCCCAGTTCTGAGACGGCACAAAGGAGCGCGTCCAGGGCCGAGGAGTCGGGCGGTGCCACGCTGGCCTCGGCCAGGCCGACCACCTCCTGCTTGGCCACCTGCTGGAGCAGGGCCCCGCTGGCACCCAGAGGCCCGCCGTCCCTGTCGCAGCCCTCCCCCGAGCCCCCGACCACCAGCACCTGCTCCGGGAGCAGCGGGCTGTGCGCCGCGCCCTGGCTGGTGGAGACGACCTGGCCGTCCTCCCGGAGGTGCAGCACGCGGGCCACCTGCCCGGCCATGGCCAGCGTCTGCAGGGTGGTGGCGGCCGCCTCCTCCACCGAGGCATCGATGGCGAAGTCCCCGTCGTAGCCCTGGATGATGATGAGCTGCTGGAGCTGCTGGGCTGGGGCTGGCGGCCGGCGGCCACTCCGCAGGGGCATGTCCTTGGCCGGGGCCTCATCGGCCAGGGTGGCCGCAGTGAAGGGACTGTCTGTCTCCACGAAGGCCGCGCCCTGCCCCTTCAGCCGGCACTCGTAGGACTTGGAGACGATGCCTGCGGAGACAGCGACCAGTTAGTGCTCAGACCCTGCCCGGGGATGCCCGGCCACATGGTTACTGACCTCAAGAGTCTTTTAGAAGCTGCGATGTCAAGCCTGGGCCCTTCAATTACTCTCCGACAGAGCCATGCACACTCCACTCAAATGGCCCCGTGGCCTCGAGCTCACTGCGACCCGTGTGCACTGTATCGCCCATCTCTGGGTGAGGTGGTCTGGGCGGGAGGTGGCGTGCCCAGTGGTAAAGTCACATGATGAGGGGCCAGGACATGAGGCTGGAGAGGGGTGGGTTCCCTATGGTGTTTGCCGCGCCCCCTCCCTCCACATTGCTGATGTGGGTGGGTCTTAACATGCGACAGGACCCGCACGCCCAAGAAACCCTGTCTCGGAGTTCACGGAGGGGGCGCTGGCTCTTGCAGAGAGAGTCCCTGCTCCCCTCACCTGCTCCACAGGGAGGCAGGACCATCTCTGGGGGCTCAGTGGGTAGAGTGCGACCATGCTGGTCGTGAGGTCACCGCTCCTAGGGAGGCAGACAAGGCCTGCCCGACCCACGGGGACCCCGCTCACTGCGGCCCCACACAGGGGCCAGCAACCAAAGGCCTTGTTTGGAATGAGGCAGCCTCTCAAAGTTCACGGACAAGAGAATTCACAGACCACTGTGCGGCCTCGTCAGCCTCTGGCGCCCCTCGGGTAGTGAGTGCTGGCATGGACACTGGCTTGTTCGGCAATCACAGCTCACTGCTGTGCGCACCCCGCCCTCTGGTGTAGCTGCGGGCCTGTGCTGCCCACAGGGCCCTGCGTTTTGCGCCAAGCTCGGCTGTGGCAGGGACGGGGCTCTTCCCTGCCTGCCTGCGCCCACTGCGGCCATTCCTGAGTGCGGGTCGTTTTCTGTCTAGTCCTGGCAGGGGAAGCATGGGGAGTGAGGCCTTTGGAAACCCACACAAAGCGGCATAAGCGGGCACCTGGGCACACTGCATCAAGAAGGGGGAGGCACACGATTCTCAGCGAGCCCTGCGATCAGGCTGAGGAGGGTAGAAGTGTCCCCGGAACCTGGCAGCCCTGCGTGCCAGCGACACTGCTCTCCGCAGCACATGGAGTCGGTGTGAATGCACAGGTGGGGACACCACTTCCGACAGGCAGCGGAGCCACGTGGGCAGTCAGTGCTGTCACGGGGCCCGGGGAGTCTGCACCTCGGCCGGCCCAGCACCTCCACACAGTTCATAAATGCTGGTACCGGCCGGCGTTTGATTCAGCAATTTAATAACCTGGCCTGCTGTCAGCACTGCTCTGAAGAATAGCACCTATAAAGTGTAACCGCCTCGATCAGACTGGAGACGCTGCACCTACTGACTGATGCCACCCCCAACCCCCCCCCAGCCATCGTGAATTAATGCGTGTGGGCGACGGAGAAGTTCAAGTGTCAGTTAAACTAACGTGAGCCTCACCTGCCCAGAACTGTGCACTGGCCCCGCTGTGCTGGGGACGGGCTGGGTGCCCTGGCTTCCATGCCGGAGGTCTCTGTGGCCGAGTCCACACAAGGGTGCGCCAGGTCTCGGGGTGCTAACAACAGATCTGCACCTTGCCCATCTCCTGGGCTCTGCTTCTTGGAGGGCAGCTCCCTGCAGGGCCTGTGCTGGGGACGGAGACCACACTCTCTGCTCCTGGCGCTACGTACTCTGAGCTCACAACCCGGCTGGCGTGGAATGGTTCTGGGCGCTTGAGGCTTTGTTTGCAGGGAAATGGCTTCTAATGAGCTCACCTTCCCCTGCATCCCTTAGACTCCCCTCTAAGCTGACCACCTCAGGAGCTGGGAGGCACTGAGCCCACCTTGTGGGGCTGGCGGGGTGGCCCGGGAGAGACCCCCGCCCCTACATCTTGCTAAGGGCCGCACGCTGCTGTCTGCTAGCCCCCGGGAAGCTGCAAGCAGGGCGGGCACCTGACGGCTGGGCCTGAGGTTCTTCTGTTACTGTCATCGTTTCCCCACAGAATAAATACCTTATGCTTTCGTTAAGCTTACATTTAATTAAAATGTACAGAATTTGTGCCGTAAATGCGAATGAAACATATAAAACAAGGGCCCCCTCTCTTGAAGGCGTACATTGTGAATGAAAAATGTCATTACAGACTAAAAAATTTTGCAGTAAACAGGGTCTACAGAGAGAAGTTTCCCTGTAATGACATCCATAAACCACACAAATGGCACTTTTAGTACCATCCTGAATCTGGCACGTTCTGTACTCTACACACAATCTAAATGGTCTGATCATAGCGCATAATACTCCATTGGGTTTATAGAACAATCAATGTTCCATAAAATGATGTATTTATCCAATAGTAGGCCCAGCAGTTACTGGCGTTTGACACTGCGCAGCCGGCCCCTCCCCCTCGCGGGCGCCCGGCTGCAGCACGCATTTTACACGACTTCAACAACTGCATCCCGTCAGTGTCAAGCCAGTTGTTGAAGCCTCAGAGTGGCTTAGGGAAGGGAAAGGAGAAGGGGGGGACCGACCTCATAATAAAAATTCATGGAATTTTCAGGAGTCTGAGAACGGATGACAAGGGAAAGGTCACAGTGTGTCCCCACTACAACGGGGTCAGGGGTGGCCGGCAGTTTTGGAGCTGACGGCTGATTTCACGCATCGTGTAGCAGATAAAGACAGCGTCACCGAGCCCGTGGCGGCGCGCTGCCTAATGTGGTGGGAGAGCCGGGGCTAATGCGACGTGAAAGTGGCCGCGCTGCTACCAGCAAACACTTCTTGTCCAGCCCATGCGCTCCCTGGAATCCCAGAAAAGCTGGGTGCTGCGGGTGCAGTCCCCGGGGCGGCAGGGTGGGTGCCTGCGTGTTGTATTCAGCAGGGCTACTTGTCGGAGCCTCAGCGAGAGCCCCTGCACTAGGCGGGGTATAGAAAGACTCCTTTTCGGTGCCACAATTTGGGGGCCCTGCTGTTCCTAGCTCCAGAGAGTTTTCCTCAACTTCCGTTTTAAGATGTAATTTTAACAGGGGTGTTAAGACATCATACTTAGTGTCTATTAAAGTGAAACAATATGAGCAGGTTATGCTAATAAATTAGAGCCATATATTTTAATGTCACAAAAGCGTGTAAGTTTCCAAGTGAAAGCAGGTAAAATGACAAATTAAAATTCCATGAAATATAACCTTTTTGAGATTTCAAAGCAGGGAATAAATTACTCTTACATTAGCAGGCACCAATAGTCTAGCCAGTCAAATCAATACCGATAACAGCTGTATAAAGTATTCATTTCACAGACAACAGTAACTACCTGGGGTTCTGGCAGGTCGCCCCAAGACAGAGCTCCTACCTGACTCTGAACCTCCCGTGTGAATGCTGGCTTCCCAGCACCCAGTGCCTCGCGCAGTGTGAACCTCCACCTGGTCCTGCCGGGCTTAGGGACCCGTTGGGGGCCAAGGAAAGGGGGCCAGGCTTGCAGGTGACTGAGAAAAGGGGAGTTGGGACTTCTCAGCCTCCCAGTCCAATCACTACGTGACAATAAGGTGTGGTGCATACCATGTGCCACAGGAGTAACATGTGAGGGGTCTGCACAGCGTGGCTGTTTCCCATGTGTGCTATGTGCACAAAACATGGGGCTTGTGGATTTTTCAGTTTTGTGGTTTTCAGAGACCATACCATGCCTCAGCTATTTTCAAGGATTAGAAATTGCAACTTGGTCACTGTTACTAAAATCAACGTAAAATTAAAACTAGCGAGGTTATCTGTGATACCAAATTAAGGTCGCTAGTCTTGGTGTGCCAAGTTCAATACAGGAGCTATACTTCACAGCACAGCCTTGCTCCAGCGGGCCTGGCGATATCTGAAATACATCACAGCCTCGTCTCTGAAAAGCACAGTGGCTAGTAGATGCTTCATACACACATCATGGTGTCTGCGTGAGAACTGTGCCCTGCTTGGTGCCCACTCCACAGAGGCCACGGTGCAGAAGGTGAGGTGAGCACACACTAGCCGGGGCACAACCCCATGCGCCGTTGGGCCACTCTGCCTGCAGGACACAGATTCAGGGATGGACACTTGAGCCTTTTGCCCTAATGTCCTTCGGGACTCTCGTCAGCGTGGGGGCCCCAGAAGACCCCCCTCTACGAGGGAGACCTAGCAATGCATCTCATCTCAGCTTGGAAACCCTAACCCTCCAGGTCCCTAACTTCACCAAGAACAGCGTCCACAGGCCTGAAGGCCCCCAGGGTCCCTGGGGAGTGATGAAGGACAGAGACAGTGCTTCACCTCTGCAGTCACTGGCCCTCGGCCCGTGGATAGGGCAGCCAGACTGACACCATCATTCTCAGCACTGGGAGGCAGACACACTAATCTCACTCAGGAGCCATGTCCTGTAGGGTCTGGACAGCTTTGTGGAGAGGTGGGCAGGAGCGTGGCCCCCATGGAGACTGTGCCCCATCTCTGCCTGACGTGTAGTGAGATGGCACCCCTCTCATTCACTCATCTCTGAGAACAGACCTTCCCAGTCCCAGGAGAAGAACCAGGCAGAGGGGCGTGGGCAGGCCCAGCAGGTTCCCAATCTGCCCGGCAAGGCGACCAGCCAGGGACAGCGTCTGACTTTTCAGAGCTGCACCTGCCCTCTGACCCCGGTCTGGCCAAGCCAGTGAGAGCCTGGGGACGCCTGGAGGGTTTCCAAGATGGCCAGTCTGACAGGAGCCAGCCGACTGCCACAACTCCCTCTCACAGAGCGCTGTGTGTGTGTGTGTGTGTGTGTGTGTGTGTGTGTGTGTGTGTAGACCACAGACCTTCCTTTATCAGCTGGGTGCTTAACAACTGCCTCACCAGGTGTCGTCCTGACCACACCGCACCCATCGTACATCCCACCCCAAAACACCCCACAGAGGTCAGGGGCCCCGGGGAGGGCCACCTATCGTCACAGAGGGCATGCAGCTTCGGGGAACGTGATGCGAGTGCGTGGCGACCCTGCCTCACCCAGGGACCCTGCCCTGCTGCAGGGAGAACATAGTCGG